TCAGGAGATCAGAGTTCTAATCCTGCTTCAGGCAACTGTGTGGCCCTAAGCAAGTTACTTAACCTCCATCTACTGAAATTTCCTCATCTGTAAAATGGGGGGCCTGATAGCATCTACTTCATAGGATTGCCATGAGTATCACATGAGATAATATATGTAAAGTGCTTTGTAAACCTTAACCGGCTATGTAAAGGTTAGCTCTGACTACTCCTGTTGGCTGGAATGTAGGTTGTATGAAGGCGTGTAATGTGAAATCTGTCTAGGAAGGTAGGCTGGAGCCAGATGCTGAAGGGAGGGCTTTTGAATTTGTTTTTTGTTCTAGAGGAGATAGAGAGCTACATACACCAAGGATTCTTGAGCTGAGAAGCGACATGATCAGACCAATGCTTTGGGGACATTATTTTGTTAATTCTGTGAAGGCCAGATTACAGAAAGAAGAGGCTGGAAGCAGGAAGACCAGTTAGCACACTACTGCAATACAATTTGCAGGTGAGATGCAGTCAGGTTGTAGTGAATGGGTGGTACCTGTACAAGAAGAGAGGAGGGCACAGATGGGAGAGATGTTGTGGTGGTAGAATTGGTGAATTTGGTAACTGATTGGCATGGACAATAAAGGAGAGTGAAGAGTCAGCAACAACTCTGAGATTGGGAACCTGGATTACTAGAAGGATGATGATACCTTCAATATCAGTTAGGAAGTTTAGAGTAAGGACAGGTTAGGGGAAAAGATAATGAGGTTCATTTTTGACACATTGAGTTCAAAGTGTCTACGGGGTATCCAACTGGAGATGTGTGGTACAGTCAGCTGGTGATGCAGTACTGTAGTTCAAAGAGAGAGAGATTAGGACTCTATATAAAGTCGGGATCCTTGTCCAAGGTTATAGTCACAAACAGTAAATAGCAGAGCCAAGATTTGAACCCAGATCCTCTGATTCGAAATTCACTCCTCTTTCCACCATACTAGGCTTTCCTCTCCTTCCATATGAAGGATATGGGCCATCTCCAGTCGTCCTGATCTATATCTTTCCACTAGATGCAGATGACTCTGGAGGAAGGAGAAAGTGAGGCTGGTGACTTTGCTTAGCCCTCCCTCACTTAAATCCATTTCACTTGCTTGTCCTGGCATCACCTCCCTGATGGCATAGTCCTCTTTGAGAACTAAGGACAGACAACATGAAGGACACACGGCTGTCTTATTTGTGTTAATACAACCCGCTCATCATTTGGGGAATTCCTCATATTACTGAAATCTTAGGATATCCTAAGATCTTCATCCCTATCCTTAACTGATCCCACTGATGTCCCACTCACAATCTGCTTCCTTCACTAACATGATACCTTTAGACTTTCCTTGCCCTGCTCAAGATAGACTTCTAGTGTGCCCTTTGTTCTATTTGATTAACCATATGAAACAGTCTATATGGTTTTAAAGCAACAAGCACCCAGTTTGAGGTTCCAGCCTACTTATGGAATGACAATAGTTATCATGCAGTTTCTGCTCAATCAATCCCTTGTCTTGGAAGCAGTGGATGGCATGGTTGTGACATGTAGTTAAGAGAGTGAGTTGAAAAAGTGGGCCTTGTGAGTTTTTTTCCTAAAAGTTTAATTTATAAAAATATGTATAACATTCTTTTGTGGCGTCATTTAGGTGGTGGAGTGGGTTTGGAATCAAGAAGATTCATCTTCCTGAGTTCAAACCTGGCCTTGGATATTCCCTATCTGTGTGACCCTGGGCAAGTCACTAAACCCTGTCAGTTTCCTCATCTGTAAAATGAGCTAGAAAAGGAAATGGCAAACCACTCCAGCAGCTTTGCCAAGAAAACCCCAAATGGGGTCCTGAAGAGCTGGACATGACCAAACAACAATGACAACAAAGAACTGGAAACTAAGAGGATGCCCATCAACTGGGGAAGGGCTGAACAAATTAGAATATGTAAAATCCATGGAATTAATACTACTGTACTGTAAGAAATGATGAAGAGGATAGTTTCAGAGAAACCTGGTAAGACTTGTATGAACTAATGCATAGTGAAGTGAGTGGAACCATGAGAAGAGTTTATACAATAACAATATGGTAAGGCCAAACAACTTTGAGAGATTTCGAACTCTGATCAAAGCAATAATCAATCTCAATTCCAGAGCACCAATGAGGAAGCATGTTCCCCTGACACAGCCAATGGGGATGTTGGTTTTGCTTGACTATGCATTTTTATTACAAGGATTTTGTCTTGTTTTGTTTTCACATATTGGGGGCAGCAGAGTGGGACAAGGGAAAAATAGATCTCTGTTAATTGAATTGAGACTTAGGATAAAATCACAATTCAAGAGCATCCACCAGACTAGCTGTCTGGCTAGATACATCTTTCTACTCTCTTTTCTCATGCCAGCAATTAGGAGAGTCTCAGGCTCATCAAATAACAAAGTAATATTTGCATCTCACCCAGTGCTGTGGCAAGAACTCCAGTTAGATTAGAAAGCTCTGGACATGCTAATAAGTGTGTGTTTGAACTGGCGTCTAATTTTCATTCTTTTAATCATAACTTGCCACTCCTCGGGCCCACTTTCAATAGACATTCGTTCTGGGCTCAATTCAAAGCCTTTCTGATTTGGGGTATTCATTGTTGGGCTGTCACCCCACATGTATCATGCTCACAGCAGGTTAGAGGGTGGGCCTGATCTGTTTATTTGTGCCTTCTGAATTGGTTTGGAAAGTTGCCTATTCATGTTAATTATGGTTTGGGGATTGTTGTTGAAGTTGTTGGAGCCCTGAAGTCTGAAAAATTAAAGAGTCTTATTAAATATTTAATAATTATTTATTTTTTTACATGGCACACATTGCTAGGGGGTTTTCTGGGCTCTAGGCCAAGGGTAGTTCAGTGCTGATCCTTGGGTATGCAGTTATGGATCTCGATTAGGGTTTTAAAAGAATGCTTCTTTTAGGAGATTACCTCTGACAAGGGGCTACAGGGGACATGACCATTGTCTCATATTCAGCAAAGGTGGGAAAGACATAACTAATGGTGACATGGAAGGTGAGAGGGTGCTGTTTTGGGGAATGAGGGGCAATGTTCTGTTGTGTCTCTTGTCCATTCATGGAATAATCTTTCTTTCACAAGGCAGACATGACTATTTCCTCTATTAGTCATCGCATCATAGGCTTAGAGCTTGGAAGGGCCATTGCACTAGAGGTCATCTACTCCAATCGCTGTATTTTACAGATGAGCAAACTGAAGCCCAGTGAAGTTAAGTGATTTGCCCAAGGGCACGCAAGTAGCAAGCATCAGTCGTAGAATCTGAACCCAAATCATTTACTCAAAGATCCAAAATTTTTTTCACTGTACCCTGCTACCTTCCTTTGAGGAAAAGAAACCAAAAAAAACCCAAAACAAAACAAAACAAAAAAGCAAAACAAAAAAACAAAAAGGTAGGATTTGAAATAACGTAAGAATGAGGATGACGGCTGCTGTTTATATAGTACCTTAAAGCTTTGTACTGGCCTTATCTGATTTAAGCATCATAACTATCCTGTGTTGTAGATACTACACATATTGTCATTCCCATTTTATGGATGAAGCAGCTGAGGCACAGATTAAGTGACTTGCCCAAAGTCATACAGTTAGTACGAGTGAGAGGCAAAATTTAATCTCTGGTTGCTCATGACATCAATACTGTGCCTCACCCTGATGATGCTTTAAAAAATAATATTACTCATAATAATTAGTATTTGTAGAGTGCAGAGGTGTCAAACTCAAGGTCTGTCCTCAAACAATCCACAAAACTCTGCAAGTGCACAGGAACCAGATTAAAGTGTAATTGGGAAATACTTAACAAAATAAAAATACAGTACAACATAGATAATGTTAATGTGTGGTTTTCTAAGTTAATATGTGGCCTGTGGGAATACATTTTCATTTGAGTTTGACACCACTGCTTTAGGGTTTGTCAAGCACTGTATATATGCCTTTGGTAGACTGCTTTCCATTTTGTATCAGTACATATGTCTTCCCATATGTCTCTGTATTCAGCATGTTCAGAGTTTCTTACAGCACATTAGTTTTCAATTATATTCCCTTACCACAATTGGCCAGCCATTCCCCAATCAGTGGGTTCCCCATCTACTTTGTAAAACTTGGAATCTTAGAATCTTGTGCATAAAAAGCCCAAACTAAATGCTTAATGAATTGAATTGAGATGTGGGAATTCATCATAAATAAAGATCACAGAATGTGGCCTCAGTTTCTTCTCCTGTATTCTCTAAATCTGACCTCTGAGGTCTCTTCCAGCTCTAGATCTCTGATTCTCAGATCTAGGTCTTTGCTGGAATCGGATTGGTCTTTGAAATTCCTCTGAGTCCAACTCCCTCATTTTGAAAATGAGAAAACAAAAGCCCAAAGACTTAAATGATTTGCTGACACTTCTGTGACTGGAAATAGTAGGATAGGACCAAGACCAGAACTGCCCTGTGTTCTTTCTCTGATATCTCATTGCCCCAGGCCTTTTTCTGAATTATAGGGCCTGTCTAGGGGTACCCCTATGACCATCGTGTACTCTACTTGATCAAGAGCAGGGCCAATAACTCTTGGAGAAGGAACTTAAGACAGTTTTCTTATGGATAACATGGAAACAAAACCAAAGTGTTTACTCTCTGAATGTTCCATGTCATTTAGTCTGCCCTCTGGTGTTCAAAAGAGAGTATTCATGGGAAAGGAATTTGCTAAGACACCAGTAGGATTTCTCATGTACTTTCATTGAAAGTGTTTATAATTAGTCTGTGACCATCACCCCAGAAACAGAGAATCTATTATTGCTGAGCAACTAGTGAGAGATGTGTGTGGCCTGTGCATATGTGTGTGTGTGTGCGTGCACATACACGCGCATATATGTCTGACCTGGACACTGAATTTCACTGCTATAGATTGTGGGTGTGTGAGTAGAAGAAGCAGGTCTTTTGGCCAACATGGAACAGATTGCATGATTTATCTGCAAGATGTCTCACTCACCTTTTAATGACTCAGTGGGTTATTCAGGACAGACTCTTTGGACAGCTGGCATCTCTCCAGTTTACTTTGGCCCTAGAGCCCAGACTCATCATCCGGTCTATTCTTGTCTCTCTCCATATGTAATTGTCTCTGCAGTGCAGATGCAGACTATGACCACAAAGTAAATGTCATCATCTTCAGTAAATAAATAGTTTTATCAAGACCTACCTTGACAACCATTGAATGTTTCCAGGATGGATGTTTGGCCTTTTAGCTTAAACCAACATGATTTCCCGAATTCCAACTCATTGCTTCCAGGAGGAAGAAAGCCACCTCAGGGAAACCTGAGCATAAGATGTTCAAAGGTGTTTAAATCCCTTCTTTGCAAAAACAAACAAAAACAAAAACCCTTGGAGAAATGTGAATGCTGTCAGATTTAGTGCTTTATGGAGGGGGAAGGGTGATTGTTTAATCATTTTTCTTTGTACAATTGAGAGATGGTACTTCCCCACCCCTCTGAAGTGATTGTGATATAACAGAAAAAGGCATCAAGAAAACATTTTAAAAATATTTCTGTGGTCAGGAATGGATTACAGGAGATATACACCTGTAATCCCCCCTAGGGGAGGAGGCTAAGGCTGATAGACCTGAGCTCAGATGTTCCAAGCTGCATTAGGGCTAAAGCTGATCTGATGTCTACATCAAGTCCATCAGTGGGGTCACCAAACTACCTAAGGAAAGAAAAACTGGCCCAGATTGGAAATGGAGTCAAAGCTCCCATGCCAATCAGTAGTGGGATTGATCCCATGGAAGGAATGAAGGGAAGAAGGAAGGAAAGAATGAAAGACAGAAGGAAAGAAGGAAGGAAGGAAGGAAGGAAGGAAGGAAGGAAGGAAGGAAGGAAGGAAGGGAGGGAGGAAGGGAGGGAGAAATGAAAAAAGAAAGGGAACAAGGAAGGAAACAAGCAATTATTAAGCATCCTATGTGCCAGGCACTGTGCTAAGTACTTTACAAATATTATCTTATTTAATTCTCATAATATTGTTCAGTCATTTTCAGTCTCATGGCCTCATTTGGGGTTTTCTTGTTAAAGATAATGGAGTGGTTTGCCAGCTCATTTTATAGATGGGGAAACAGAGGCAAACAGGGTGAAGTGATTTACCCAGGGTTACACAGCTAGGAAGTATCTGAGGCCAAATTTGAACTTGACTCCAGGCTAAGCACTCTATCCACTGGGACACCTAGCTGCCCTTAACAACCCAGGGAGGTAAGTGCTATTATTATCCCCATTTTATAGTTGAGGAAACTGAGGCAAACAGAGGTTGTGACTTTCCTAGACTTGTGTCTGCAGATAGATTTGAACCCAGGCCTTCCTGAGTCCAGATCTAGAGCTCTACCCACTGTGGTGCTACCTGTTTGCCTCTAAAATGACTGCTACATTTCCAATCTTGGTGAAAAAGGAAGACCAAGTCTGAAGAAAAAAAAAAAAAAGCAACAACAACAACAACAAAAAAAACCCTTCCAGTTTGGTAGAGTTTTGTTTTGGGTTTTTTTTGGCAATTGGGGTTAAGTGACTTGCCCAGGATCACACAGCTGGTAAGTGTCAAGTGTTTGGTCTGATGCCCGATTTGAACTCAGGTCCTCCTGACTTCAGGGCCAGTGCTCTATCCACTGTACCACCTAGCCACCCCCAATTTGGTAGTTTTTATGGGAAATATACAGCTCTGTACAGTTCTGTGGAAGTGTAGCTATAGCTACCCTAGAGCAATGTGTATTTGCCTACCTTTTTTTCAATCAAAGTTCTATCTGTTTTGAAGCTTTGAAAACTGAATATTCATGACAATGCCGCTACGGCTCCATCCATTCTGCTTCCTCTCAGCCTGGCCCACCTTCCTTTTGGAGATTCTGAAGGCTAGAACACAACCTACATGTTGATCAGCCACCTGGGGGTGGAAAATGCACACTAAGAGAATCAAAGATGGCTTAGAATCAGAAGGGGCTTTAGAAGGTATCCCATGGCAGAGTAAGGCTTCATGGGATCACAGGAGTGGGATTGGAAGGGACCTCAAAGGCCATCTAATCCAGCTCTTCCCCATACATACAGCCTTTTATTTTATCCATGTGGAAATGGTGGTGGACAGAAGTGGAATACTTTGATCAAAGTCATCCAGAGGCAGAGTCTGAACCCAAGGCCCTGATTCCAGACCCCATTCTTCTCTCCACTGAACCACACTGCTAATTCTACCTCCCACCCAATGCAGAAATCCCCTGTAGAAATTCAGATTTGGAAGGGGCTTAAAAAAGGCATCTAGTCCAACCCAAACCTGAGCAAGAATTCCCTCTGCAGCATCTCTGACAAATGGTCATTCAACCTTTCAAAAAGCTCTAGTAATATTCAAAGCTATCCTCATACACTTATTAGCTGTATGACCCTGGGCAAATCACCTAACCCTGTTTGCCTCAGTTGCCTCATATGTAGAATGAGCTGGAGAAGGAAATAGCAAACCTCTCCATCTTTTGCCAAAAAAAAAAAACAACCCAAATGGGGTTATAAAGAGCCAGACACCACTAAAAAGCAATTGAACAACAAAGTAATATGGAACTCATTGATTCCTTTTTTTATGTTTTATTGAGGCCCTTTTTAAACATCACTATCATTTCCTCATGACTTACTCTGCCCCCAGTAGAACCCTCTCTTATAAATAAAAAAGTACGGTTAGGTAAAACAAATCAATATATTGGCTGTGTCCAACAATGTTTGCCTCATTCTATTCCTATGGCCCATTGTATCTCTGCTAAGAATCAGTAACTGGGATTTAAATGCAGGCACTGATTTTGGGTCCAAGGCTCTCACCATTACCACCCACTTCCTTTACAACCTTATGGGTTGGTTGAGGAAGTCCCTTTCCAGGAGCTTCCCTGAGTACTTGGCAGAGTACCTGGTGCATAGCAGGCACTTAATAAATGCTTGTTGACTGACTGACTGACTATACTGATAAAATCACTTTTTTTAAAAGAAAAAATGGGTGTTATTGTCACCCAGTTATTAGAATGTATGTTCTTGCTTCAGCACAATTCTCAAGATCGTTCATGGGAACGTTCATAGGAATCTGTGTGCAGAAGAAGTAACTCTACTCTCTAAATCTCAGCTGGCAGGGGAAGCATCTGAAAGTGTGATGAAGCCCTGGTAGGTCTGGCAAAGTTAGCAGTTTAGCTCATCCTTTCCACCTCATTCTGGAATGCAGATGCAGCTCTGTTCTCTTTCAGTGTTTCTCAAGGATCTCCAGAGGAAGAATGTGCAAAAGAGAAAGATGACATCTCTGCATCCCAATGAAAAGCTGAAAAAGATTACAGAGGAGACAGAAACACAGCAGAAGAATACAGACTAGTTAAAGGTATGCACGGCACATTATGACATCTTTATCTGCTGATGCAGCTTTTAAATTAAAGCAGGTCAGTCTACTCAGTGATGCAGATTGAACTGGCAAGATAGGATGAAAATGTCAAAACTGGATGTTTCAATTGTCACCTTTTGATGGGGGAAGGTAGGGGAACCTAAAAGGGGGCAGGGAAGCCAGCCATGGGCATCCTTTCAAACCCAGGTGTGTTTGGAAGGTCAGGACTGCTGTATGAGGAGCCAATGAGAATTCAGGCAGTGATAAAATGCTGGGAAACCCAACACCAATGGTAATGCTCATTCTAACAATAAAAATACCCTATGGTTGTAAAGCCTCTCAAAGCTTTGAAAGCTCTTTGACATATTAGCTCATTTACCCTCATATCAACCTTCTCAGGTAGTCATGACAGAGATTATTATAATCCTGTTTTGCGCCAAGGAAACCAATATTCAGTGAGGTTCTGTTCTGCCTACATTGATCAGAATCACGGGGTCAGTAAGTGGTGGAGCTGGGACCCAGACTCACCTTCTATTTCCTAGACCAGCACTCTGTGATTCTTCAATCCAGAAAACCTATTTGGGCTGACCTTTCGGGTGTAGTCCCCCAGATTTCCAACCTCATTGGTGCTCCCTCTGGCTTGGCTGTGTGCAAGGTTGCAGGGAGAGTCAAGGAAGAAGGGCTGTGTGTGTAGAAACCTTTATTGAAGTACTTCAGAGTTCTTCATGCGACCATCCCAGTCTCAGGAGGCTTTGTAGCACAATGGCAGAGTCCTGAATTGGGAGTCAAAGGGCTTTTGTTCAAATCCCGGCTATGCCACTTTCTGCCTTTGTGACCTAGGACAAGGGGCTTCCCTCTCTGAGACTCAGTTTCCTTGAGCTTAATGATTTCTAAGGTCCCTTCCAGCATCTGGATCTATGATCCTTTGGCTGGTAACATGTCCCAGTTCCATAGTAAGTATTATACTCTGTCTTAATCTTATCATATATAATATACTGTGTGCAGTGATGGGTGCCACGTTTTAAGAAGGGCATGGAGAAGCTGGAGAGCGACCTGAAGAGGGCAATCCAGATGATGAGCAGCTAATAAGCTCACTAGATCATACATCTAATGATTTATATCATTGTATGGATGAGAAGTCTGAGCATATGTCATATGAAGCTTGATTGAAGGAACTGGTGATATGTATCTTAGGGAAGAAAGGATGCAGAGGAGGGATGTGGCAGCCATCTTCAAGGTTACCAGTTTAGCCTGGATGGCTCTCAGAAGCCATCTGGCCCAATCCCCTCATTTTATTGTGCTGGAAACCAATGCTCAGGGAAGTTGTGATTTGGCCAAGGTCACACAGGTAAAAAGTGGCAAAGCAGAATTCAAATCTAGACCCTCTAACTCCCAATCCATTACTCTTTCTACTGTACCACACTGTCTCTGTCACCAGGAAGAAGGATTCAATTTGTTGTCTTTGGCTCCAGAAGGTGTAACACAGAGCAATGGGTGAAATGTAATAAAGAAGCAAATCTACTTTTGATATCAAGAAAAACTTCTTAACAAGGAGAGTTATCAAAAGGGGCAATGAGTTTCCATAAGAGGTGTCATTTCCCCCATGTTGGAGGTTTTCAGAAAAGGGCTGGTTGGATATTTATCAGGAAATTTAATGGTCAAGGTTGGGCTTGATGGTGTCTGAGGTCTCTTTGGACTCTGAAATTATGTGATTCCATTTTTGGGATGAGAACAGTGCGCCCATTCTGAGCCCTCCCAACCTGCTCCCACACACCCTGCCTGACTCGATGAACCACTCTCTGCTCCCCATGACCACTCTCAAGAATCAGCCTGAGCTTCAGCTGCTTGATGGACATGGCTTTTCAGCTTACACAACTGAAAGCAGCCCAAGAGATTGCTTTAAGAGTTGGTACTTGTTATCAGTTTCATGTCAAACATCCCCCTGGGATGTTTGACTCAAAGTGAGAATTTAATTACACTTTGAGACATGAGCTAGGTTTACTTTCCTAGATTAAATTATATCCTGTGAAAAGTGTGCTCTCAATATAGTATGGACTGGATCCCATCCCTCCCACATGGATACTGACTCTCATACCTAGTAATTTAGTGCAAAATGTGAGGCATCTTGGGCTTTCTCTTTTTTTAAGGTAGGTAGTTTGTGTCCATTATACAGAGCACTCATAATCTCCAATAAAAGCAGACCTTGGGGGAATGTTTTATTGAAGTGGAAAATAAAAGAGTAAAAATTTCATTAAATGATTTTCAACATTTCTGAAGGCAGTTACTAGGGACAGTCTACAGGTTTCATGAGCAGCCAATGATCATTAATGAGATTTTTGGGGAGGAGGCTAGCATTCTGCATGCAAAGCTCCAGAGGATCAAAGATCTAAAGCCATCTTGTCATTTGACAGATAAGGAAACTTAGGCTCAAAACCTTTGTAGTTCTAAATGACCACCAGAGCCTTAGTTCCACTGGCATAGCCTCCACGTGACTTGCTCAAGGTCACACAGCCAGGGTTAGGGTTAGAGTTCCTCTGAGTCCAAATCAAGCCTTCTTTTCCCAGCATCATCCTCTAGCTACCTAAGGTATAAAACTGTTCATATCTATTAGGCTGTCAGAGGATATGATGCTCTATTAGAGGTAGGGAGTTTCGCCACTTCTGGTCTCTTCCTTTAAAAAATCCATACCTGGCCTTATTTTCTTCAAAAATAATTTTTAAAGTTCTGCTTCCGGGAGCCAAGATGGCGGAGTAAAAAGGTAGTCTCTCTCACCCTCCCCTTTCAACCTCTGAAAATCCAGAAAATATCACCCCAGAGAAACAACCTGGAACACCTGAACTAGAAGAAAGATGGGGAGCAGCAGTGCAACAGCCCAGCAAAGGGGTCTCCCAGTACCTCAGCAAAAATAAGGGAAGCAGCACTACAAAAGGCCCCAGGCAGATAAGTGCCCTGCAGCATTCATCTGAAAAGAGCTGAAGAAAGCAACCTAAAGTCTTCCTAAAGTCCGAGCCTTGCTGATTCCAGCCCAACACCAGGTAAGCTGTCAGAACCTCCAACTGTCAACCAGGAAGAGATCCTGAAGCCCAGGTGGTAGAGCAGGCAAACACCAACACCTGGACCTCCGAGTGCCCCAGTGAGGGTGGTGGGGGAGAAGGGGGACTGGTGGAAACCAGCTCAGAAAACCACCAGGTGCCTCGGCACTCTACCCCAAAGGAATCTCCCAGTGCATTAACAGAAACGAGGGAGACAGCACTGCAAGGGGCCCCAGGCAGATAAACACCCTGCAGCACCCATCTAAAAGGAGCTGAAGAAAGCTAAAGGAAAGGAAAAGCAGGCAACCTAGAATTGCCTGAAAGTTCCAGCCTTGCTGATTCCAGCTCAACAAGAGGTAAGCTGCCAGAAACCTACAGCCTCCAATTGACAACATAAGAGGCCCCAGCACACAAAGCCAGTGACCAAGACCTAGGCTCCCAACACAAGAAGCTTGGATCAGTGCCCTCTGTTCCCCAGCAGGAGAGGTTAATCTTTTAAAGGCCAGGGAATAAAGAAACACCACGAGTAAAAAGAAATGTACCATAGATTCATATTATAAGAAGAGTGAAGACCAAGACAGAAATTCTGAAGAGGACAACATTGTCAACAAACCCACATCTGCAACATCAGACCATGAACTGGTCTGAAGCCCAAAAAGCCTTCTTAGAAGAGCTCAAGAAGGATTTTAAAAGTCTAATGAGAGAGGTAGAAGAGTCCTTAAAAAATACAATTGGCCAATTGGAAAAAAAGTACACTGAAGAAAACAAGTCCCTAAAAAACATAATTGGCAAACTGGAAAAAAAGTACACTGAAGAAAACAAATCCCTTAAAAATGCAATTGGCCAATTGAAGAAGGAAGTACAAAAACTAACAGAAGAAAACAATCTGTTAAAAACTAGAATTGGACAAATGGAAACTAATGACTCTATGAGAGAGCAAGAATCAGTCAAACAGAAACAAAAAAATGAAAAAATGGATGAAAACATAAATACCTCGTTGGTAAAACAACCGAGCTGGAAAATCGATCCAGGAGAGACAATTAAAAATCATTGGACTACCTGAAAATCATGATGAAAAAAAGAGCCTGGACAGTATCTTTCAGGAAATCATAAAGGAAAACTGCCCTGAAGTCCTAGAACCAGAAGGTAAAATAACCATAGAAAGAATATACCACTCACCACCTGAAAGAGATCCCAAATTGAAAATACCAAGGAATATAATAGCAAAATTCCAAAATTACCAGATGAAAGAGAAGGTGCTGCAAGCAGCCAGAAAGAAACAATTTAAATATCATGGAACCACAGTCAGGATTACACAGGACCTTGCAGCTTCTACATTAAACCGCAGGGCATGGAACATGATATTCCATAAGGCAAAGGAGCTTGGATTGCAGCCAAGGATCAACTACCCTGCAAAAATGGGCATGATCCTTCAAGGGAGGAGATGGATATTCAACAAAATAGGAGACTTCCAAACCTTCCTCATAAAAAGACCAGAGCTCAACAAAAAAATTGATCTTCAAGTACAAGATTCAAGAAAGACATAAAAAGGTAAATGGGACAGAAAGATACAAAATGTTTTTAATAAGGGTGGACTGTTTACATCCCTACAAGGGAAGATGACACTTGCAACTCTTGAGAACTGTATTGTTATTACGCCATGTTAAAGGGGTATACATAAAGGGGGTGGATGTTAGTTGACTTTGATGTAATGATAAAAAAAAACTAATCAAGTGGGTTAAATAGATCCAAGTAAGTGGATTATTCTGATCTTAGAAAATGTACTGAGAAAGGAGGAGGCAGACAAGGGTAAATTACATTACAGGAAAAGACAGAAAATCCTATTACAGCAGAGGAAAGGAAGGGAGGGGGGTGAGCATTGTTTGAACCTTGCTGTCATCAGATTTGGCTCAAGAAGGGCATAGCATAATCAGTTAGGTATGGAAATCTAACTTGCCCTGTGGGCAG